ACAGCTAAACTCAAAGATATAAGAAAATAACTGAACTGAATAACTGTTTCCCTAGAATCACTAGGGCTTGACAGGTATAAAATTAAGACTGATTGGGGTGCATTATGTTGATAAAAAGAACCACTAAAAAATTCAATGGTCAATAGTAAGAAGTTCTGAAGAGTAAAACACATTATTCCTCTTATTCACAGGGGAGTCATATGGCTGAAAGTACAGTTTTTGCTAAGACTGTACAACGCATGCTTTGTATTCCTCTGTAATATGAATCAGGTGTTAGGCTTGGACCATTACAACTGGATTTTCACCTGCATGAATGTCTAGTGGGACAATCTAATGTTACGCTAGATGAAAGAGGATTCTTTGCTGCATACAATTAATGCAAGCATAGCAGGATATGTAGCACCTCTGGCCTTCATTCACAGCAGGTCAGAGTTGTCCTCCTGTCACTGATGAGGAGCAATGCCCCCCAAATTCCCAAATTCCCCAAGGGGCAATATTTTTCCCATCCAGACATGTTCTACCTGGGAGCTCAGAAACTCCCTTCTGGCCTCAATTTCCACTAAGGTGAAGTCAGATTCACAGTGCCTGGGGCTTCCCTGGCTCTTCCCATCCATGACGTGACTTCTCTTGGGTCCCTGAGTACAGTTCTGGCCCAGTCTCTGAGAGTCCACAGGTTGATATATAGCATGAAGTTCTCCTAAACACCTCTGGACCCCGGGAATCACACATTCTGAAACCAAGTAGATGCTCACTGAGGTTGTTGAATAAATGACTTAGAAAACAAAAAATAAAATAAAAACAAATCAGAGAGCTTGGAGATTGAAGATATTGCCATCATTAAAACAGAATCTTTTCTAAGTATCTACTTTATCCTGAAGATAATATGATGAAATGGACATTTGATAATCTTTTTTTCCCTTTTTATAAGCTTAGGTATTTCTACATTGTCTTTCTTTTTCATCCTCATATTCAGTTCCAGTTGTGAACAATAGGTAAGTATGAAACTCAATTATTTAAATGTGACTGTATGTCTCTCTGGTGGTACCAAGGGCAGGTGCGATTAATTCTGACCGTAGGATTTGAGGAGACCTTTGCAGAAGGTGGGATCTACTGTGGTATAAATGTGAAGCATCTGGAAAGACTCACTCATATATTGAGGGCTTAACTACCAATGCAGGAATATTCAGAGGTGGGGTCCAGAGAAGGGACCGCATCAGGAACATGATGCACCCATCAGAAGTTTACTCAAGTGCTGGGGACAACTGATCTCAGACCTCCGAAACCAGGGGCCAATGTAAACCTTTCCTCCTTCAAGCCGTCCATGTCAGGTGTTTTGTCACAGTGACAAAAAGCTCCCTCACACAAGATTGACTTGAGATCCTTGTCTTTCATATATAATGGTATTAACGCTCATGTTTTAAGACTTTCATATAAAGGCAATATGAAAAAATAAGTGACTTATTCAATGATGGTACTTTCCATTGTTTTTCAAAAGTAACATGTTATGGTTTGTGTCTAGATGTCCCCCAAAAGCCCCATGCAGTTATGGGGTAGGCTTCTAGAATTTTTGATTGACTCATGGTCCAGTGCTGGGATTATGGGTGTGAGTGCTACACCCAGACTAGGGAAGGTAGTTTGCATACAATATAAGGAAGGAAAAGAGGTTTGCTCTCTGCTTTGCAGCTCTTCTCTTTTTGCTCTTGATGCTTTTGCTGTTTTCTGCCACCATGAACTGTTTCCCTCTGTCATGTACCATTCTGCCTGGGAGCCAGTCGAGTATGGACTGAAACCTCCACAAACTGCGAGCTAACTAAACCTTTTCTTCGTTAATTTTGGGTGTTGGGTATTTTGTCTCAGCAATGAGAGAAAAGTAACCAAGACATGATGGAAGGCAGGTATTTGAACAGAGCTTCATTGATACGGGTACAATCAACAAGCCTTGAGGCAGGACCTGGAATTTTCTGCCCCCTCTGGCTGAAAGGACCTCTGCATCCACATCTGCCTGGTTTGCTCACTCTTTATGACTGTTTATTCAGATGTGACCTTCTGAAGAGCCATCTCTGATCACCTTACTTAGCCCCTCATTCTTGATTTTTCTCTATAGCATCTGCTATCACCTACTGTACTCTCTTCATGTTTGTGTCTGTTATCTTCCCTCATCTCCTCAGGAAAATGAAAACCCCTGGGGTGGCAGGGGTTTTGCCTGTTTTGTTTTCCTGACAATGTCCACAGTGCCTGGGGGTGTGAGCTTTCCATCACTGTGACAAAATATCTGAGGAAAATCAATTGAAAAGAGAAAAGATTGATTGTGGTTCATAGTTTCACTTAGCTCCAAGTAGAAATGATCTGTGGACCTGTTGAAGGCATTTCACTGTCTACTTTCCTGCTTCCTTTTTTCTTCATACTTTGTAACTAGTGTCTCATGCCAGACACTGAGTCTATGGTTATCGTGTGTGTAGTACTTAAGAATTTACTCTTTCCTTTACCACCTGTCATTATTAGAACATATCTTGCTGGCTTCTGTTACCTAAAGACCCTGGTACACTCTCTTCTAAGCCAATAAACACATTAAAGCCCAGACATGAAGGAATAATAATGCCTCTACCTCCTGGAAAGTAATTTGCATTTAAACAGCTTTTACTGTTTGAATGCCAAGAGGTTAAGTGACTTGGGAATCCTCCTGGGCACTAAGTCTGAGCCAGCTTGGGTAGCCTCAGAGAGGCCTGGAAGGAAAATCAAATCACAGGCTATGGGTACCTGTCCACTCAGTCTCTGCAGGGTGACAGCCACACCCCTCAGAGCGTGCGTACACACACACACACACACACACACACACACAGCTAGGCAGGGTGCCAATTAGAGGCCTGAGAGCATCTTAGCTTGTAGAGAAATAAGCCAGTCTCTTGTGATATATGTACACACTCAGATATATTACCATCGATTCCTGCTTTTAGTGCTTTGATAGCTTTCTGTCTGACACAAACATTCTTTGGACAGAAAAATGGAAGCTGGATAGGCATAAGACTCAGCCCTCAAATAGGACAGATGAGGTACACTGGGGCTCAGATTATTTGGGCACAAATCACAGCTATGTTCTTCACTGGAACTGTACTATAGCTCAGAATACAATAGGGGTTTTGAAGATGGAGACGAAAGGCTGAAAAGTGAAACTTTTTCAGTCAAAAAGGACAAAAACATAATTCCTGATAAACAGACTTGATGCTATGCAGAGACAAAACCAGTGCCATCAACTGCAGGACTGAAGCACAGGAATTTCTCCACTAGTACATCTGTTGGACCTGACCAGAGCAACCCTGTTCTATCTCCAGAAGACAGGGCACCCACGCATGCCGTATGAGAATGCTGCTGACCTTCCCAGGACAAGCGGGTCAGGCCAAGGTCTGGGCCTCGTTTATCAGAACCAGTTCCAGGGTGCCGACCACTTGCGCCTGTGAAAAGTGAACGGATTTTATTTTGAATTATGACCGAGTGTGACTTCTCTCTCCACCACTCTACGCATTGCTGTGTAGGCCCCTCTGAGTTTGCTACCTTGTGGAGTGGGTATTGATCTGAGTTCCTCCAGGGTACCCCTGGTTTTGTTTACTTCATTCCCCGGACGCAGAGACCTTATAGTGTAAACTGTAGGGAAGCACTCCACATTTTATCAAAATGACATCTTCTACAGAGAAACTCAAATTGATTGGCACATATTGATCCACTGAGCATTCCTCTGACTCTGATTGAGGATTGAACCTGAGGCTTTAACACTTAACTACATTCCCAGTCCTTTTAAAACTTTTTATTTTGAGACAGGGCCTTACTAAGTTGCTAAAGTTTCCAGGTTGGGCTCCAACTTGTGATCCTCTTGCCTTAGCTTCCCAGAAAGCTGTGTTTACAGGTGACCTGAGAAAGAAATAAAAGGCATTCTTGTCAGCTGCAGTGAATTTGGTTTCTCAAGCTGTTTCTAACGCACTAAATGTAGAGCTAAAGAGTCCTCAAGCTACTTGGAAGCCCACACACATTTCTGCCAGAACAGGAGTGGAATGTGTGTCCTTTATCCTGAGTAGCGGGAGACCTTGCTGTCCACAGGAGACGCTGCACTTGGACCGGACGTGCTTCCGTCTGCTGTGTGCTGCCACCACCTGACTGGCACTTGTGATCTGCAGCTGACAGCAAACACCAC